ATGATCCCAGGGTCCTGGGATCGAGCCCCGCATCGGGCTCCCTGCTCGGCGGGAAGCCTGCTTCTCCCCCTCCCACTCCCCCTGCTTGTGTTCCCCCTCTTGCTGTGTCTCTCTCTCTGTCAAATAAATAAATAAAATCTTAAAAAATAAATAAACAGCTGCCAAATCCTGGTTGGGGATGTCATTTCCCCAACTTCAGGTGGGAGGTGGGAGGTGGGAGGTGACTTCCCCAACTTCACATAACACCCATCATTTAAAGTGAACAACTCGGTGGCATTTAGTACATTCACAATGTTGTGCAATTACCAGTTCGATCTAGTCCCCAAACACTTTTATCACCCCTGAAGGAAACCTTGTGCCCATTAAGCAGTCACTCCACATTCCTTTCCCAACCCCTGGCACACCACCAATCAATCTGCTTGCTGCTTTCTCTACAGATTTGAAGTGGGAGGATTTTCAAAAGAGAGGTTTCTCCCAGTTTCTAGTTCTTTGGTCAAGGCATTAAACTAGGCTCATCCGGATTTTTTTCTTTTCTTTTTTTTTAAGATTTATTTATTTGTGAGAGGAAGAGAGCATAAGTGGGGGGAGGGGCAGAGAGGGAAGCAGACTCCCCACTGAGCGTGGAGCCTGATACGGGGCTCCATTCCACAACCCTGAGATCATGACCTGAGCTAAAACCAAGAGCAGGGCCCTCGACCGACTGAGCCACCCAGGTGCCCCTAGACTCATCCATAATTGAGGCAAATTTGCCTCTGGCACTGCAGGAACCACACCTCGAATGCCAGTGTCAACTTTTTCAGAGTGTGTCCAGTTTCTTTATGTGTAAGCCTCAGTTTCCCCATCTGTGAAACAACCAACCTATTCCACAGGACTGTTTTTGAAAATTAAAAGATAACACCCTCCCCAAAAAAACCTAGCTTTGCCCCACAGAAAATAGTCAATGAATGGAAGCTGTCATATTTGCAGCTCTAGAAAAACATCCACCTGAAAAGTGCTCATACATATGTGAATTCAATATCGGCCCAGGTCACCACACAGGAAAATCTTTTTACAAATGCGATTTTCTAGGAAATCTGAAGAAAGGCTAACTCTGCACAGGAGTGGTTGGAACATGGTATTCAGTAGCACACAGACTACAGCTTCGATCTCTGTTTGACCTTGGAAAGTTCCTTCACTTCTCTGAGCCTCCTCAGCCATAACGTGGTGAAACCCTCCACGTCATAAGCTTCTCTTAATGAAATGTTAAGAGCAGCTCTTATGAGCTTGTGCTTGCCCTGGCTTCCTCTTCCTTCTCTCCATTCATTCTCTGACCCAGAGCCTCCCTATAGAATCTGTTGCCCCCATTTGTGTGTTTAGCACTTAAGCATTCGTTGATACACTGATGTTATAGTAGGTGCTTTTGCCCTCAAAGAGTTAGAATATCACCTGGAAGAGAAGACTACTTTAGGTCAGGACCTAGACAAACACCTGGCTGAAACATTCTGTTTGGACTGGATAATGTGTGTGTGTGTTTAATTAAGTTGGAATGTGTTTATCTGGGGGTACATCTACCTTGCATTTTGCTAGAATTCCCACCACTTGCACCTCATTACATATCATCTATTTAACTCTATTATCTGCCTCTTCTATAAATATTTGTGGCCTTTGTCTTCTGTTCTCTTGATTGTGCCAAGCACAGAAGTGATGCCTACAAGAATTTCTACCATGCCTCTTCCAAGATTATTCTGTGTTCATCTCAAATACTTATCAATTGGAGGGGACCCCAAAAGAGTTACTCCCATGCTGGAATATAAAGGGAGGGGTCAAGCAAAACCAATTATTCCATTAAAAAATTGTTTTTTTACTAAATCAATCTTTTTAAAAATTAAATGTTACTATTTTTTAAGATTCTGCTGCTGATGGAAAATACCAAACACCTACAAACTGGAGCTAGAGATTCAATCTTCCTTTTCAAACCACCAAAGATTAATACCCACACAAGGTAACAAGCCCCAACCATGGAGTCCCTTCCTACAGCTCACTCTTTGAGGGTCTTTGAAGTTCATCTGAGATTCAACTTGTGGCCTTACCCCTGAAACAGAGCTAAGTTCATTCAGTAACCATCTATCCGCCACTCATCCATTACCTCTCACCATAGAAGGAGTCACCGTTCACAAAGAAAATTGAAGGGGTCTCGTGTGTAGTGTGCCTCCCCCAAGAGAGGCAGGAGAGGTAAAGAAAATCCCATCCATTCCTCCTTCCCTTCATGCCTCCTGATAAGGAGGGTTTAAAGGTGTCCCCTGTGAGAGAGAGCACGAGAGAGCGAGCTGACACGTGCCAGGAACCCGGCAGGCTCTAGATTGGCTGAAGTGGGGGGTGAGGGTGCCCCCTCGGCCTCTGCCCCATGCTCACCAGACCCCTTGCTAAATACCCCCTCAGGACGCTTCCCTTACCCTGTGAGGGGGGTGCATCTCTCGGTGCTTCCTGGCTCTGGGTTCTTCCTGGCACAGAATCCCTGGCCCTCTTCCCTTCAGCCCCCGGTTCCTCCAGGGACAGGCTGGTTTCAGAGCATCCCTGCAGACAGATGGCCCCAACTCCGAGCGTCCCCCACGGTGCCCTGCCTGAGCTGTCCCGAGTCAGGCCATGGCCGAGCTTTCTAGCACGCTCGGGGACCTCACTTCCTGGTTTTTCTTTCACAACTGAAAGTGGAAGCTGTTCTGGCCAGGAGAAGAAAAGCCGCCCAAGCGGCCTTGGCTCCTTTTCAAAGCCTTAACCCTAGCCCCTAGGGCTGAAACCACAGCCAGCCGGCATCACGCAGTTCACCTTCTACTCGTGGGGCTGACTACCTTGAAACCAAGACAGAACAAACAAACAAACTGAATTGACTGGGGGTGCCCTGAGCAGACCACCCGTGCCAGGAAGGGGACCCTGCTCACCTCGATTCCCAGGCCAAGAAGGTCAGCCCTCGCATCCCTCCTGATGGGGGGGAACACCTGGCATAGGGTCCCCCTTCTCCAACCCACGCGCCCCCCTCCCTGGGCACTTCCAATAAAGCCAACAAAACAAGCCAGTCAGGAACCACAGGGACACGGACCTGTGTTCTTTTCCTCGGACATCAGCTCATCCTTTTTGTGCCTCAAAATATAAACCGCAGATCCAGTCCACTGCCTCCCTCACCACCCCCCAGTTAAAACTGGGAACTTTTGGAAGGAATGCAACAAGCACATACACCACGCACTGTCAGATTGATCCCGCATCTTGCAGCTTCTGGAAAACCCACTGTACCTGCGTGAGCCAGTAACAGGAAAAGGCAAATCATTTCTTACTCTTATTATGCAAAATTGTTCTGAGTGTGTAGACCCCCTGAAAAGGTCCTGGAGACTGGTCTACAGGATATCAGGACCTGTAGTAGTGTCATCAGACTCACCTAAGGCTGGGACCACAGAAGGGCATGAGAGTGTCTGTTCTTAGACTTGGAGGCAGAAATCATGAGTTCTGCTCCCTCCTGCCCCACCCTCACCTATATTCCAGAATTAAGCAACACTTTCTCCAGCCGTAGTCCCTTTAAGAAGGCTTACGTTAAGTTCAGCATGTGCCTGGCCCTTTACCAGAGCTAGTTAGGATTCATTCGCTCTATAGAGAGGAGATCCTAATAGTCTCTTAAAAAAAAAAAAAAAAGCCAGGGCGAGCTATGTTGCAAACTCAGAGAAGAGAGCTGATCACTTGGCCTCACAGGAGCTCACTTTAGACATGGAAGAAAGACCAAGTATGGGAAGAGGAGGTTAGCCGCTCTGCCCTTCTATCTCCTGGGTCATCTCACAGCTGGAGCGACCCTTGGCTTTGCTTAGTTTTGGAAGTTCATTCCTTCAAGAAGCAGCTCCCTCCAGCAGAGAGCAGAATAAGTGTCAAGTCTCACCTATTCTAATACCCTGAGTGCTGGCTTCTTTTACCAGCTGGATGAAGAGCTCAGGGCCAGAGGAGCTTCCCCACCCCACCCCACCCCTTTTTTTTTACTATTTTCCTCCAGGATTGGATGCTCGAGTTCAGAAGTACTTCGGTCATTTAAAAATTCTAGCGCAGTTGCATTCCTATTCAATCCTAGGTGCACATAAGTGACACTCCCAAGATTTCAGGAAATAAAAGAAGGTTTTGGCAACACACAAGAATTCTGCATTATGCAGCAGCTGCTTAGAATGACAGACTGATCGGGACTCGAGCTGCACCACCTCCTAGATAGCTAGCCCAGGCCATGGTGTTTAACAGCCCAGAGACACTTTATTATGGAATGGGAACAATGCCACCTGCCTTATAGAAGGTGGTGAGTGGATGAGGTAATGCAGGTCACACACCTAGTACGTACGGACCCCAGCACCCAAGACAATGTCTGCTAAGGATTCTCTTCCCCTAGTCCCTTCCAAATGGGATTCGCTGTCATCAGCTGGGGAATAGTCTTTGTAACCATCCTGATAGCGGAAGTTTTGAATGGAAGGTAGAGACACACAGCTTGGCTCTGTCTATCACCCTGAAGGCTTTTAACTCCGTTTTAGTTCCAGTTAGTGAAATTAACCACTTTCTCTCCCAAATCTACCCCTGCCCGCACTCCCCCAGCCTCCATGTCTCCACCCCCTTTCCAACTGGTCTCTGCTTTGCCTCCACGCAAGTCAGCTGAGATTACTACTTAACCAAGTGTAATCCCATGTTGGAAGAGAGCCCTTGGACCGAGAAGAGACATGTCCCAGAGAGGTATAGAGTGGGGAGCGTTACTGCAGCTTACCTTGTAAGAGTACGCACACTTGCTGCGCCCAGCAAATGCCCCCCTCACAGGCGGCTGCACTGGTTCATTCAGATACCTTGGCCCCTTCCACAGCTCCTGTGACAAGGCCACAGCTGAAGGCAATGTGTCTCTTCCCAAGAGTGACCCACAAGCTTCCCTGAAACCTTTGAACCTGTTGCAATAGAGGTTCAAAGGTAGAAGTTACCTGTTCTCAAACACATGGAGTAACTTCCAACAGTGGCAAGTGTAAAATTTGGCAAAAGGTTAACACAGAGATCGTTATGCAGGGGCTGAGGAGGAGGAAGAAGAAGACAGCTCTCTGCTCTGAAAGTAAACGTTTAACAAGACAAAAGCTTTACAGAGCCCATACGTCAGGGGAAAGGGAGTAGACAGGGCTTTGCATCTGCTTTTGGGACAGAATCCCTGAGACTGTGAAAGGAAGAGGAAGGTCTAGCTAACAGAAGAGGGAAAACTTGCTCCTTGAGTTGAGGTTGAGAGGAACATGGGAAGCCACTTTGATTGGCTCAAGCTATAACTTTAAGAATCAGATAAGCAGAGGTTTGCATTTCAAGATCAACCTTCTTCTAGAAGGGTTCGGTGACCCCTCCAGGATTAGAACATTTCCAAGACCATTGGAATAAGGCAAATCATTCTAACATCTAGACTGAGGGACAAGCCTACCTGGGTCATATTTAGAATGCAGAATTACGGAGGCAGCCTGCCCCTCCCATGGCTTAGCAAGGCCCTTGAAGAAGCACATTGCTATTACATCATGGTTCAACCTCTGCTACTCTCTCTTTCCATTTTTTAAAAGATTTTATTTATTTATTTTAGAAAGAGAGACCGTGAGTGGGGAGAGGAGCAGAGGGAGTGGGAAAGAATCTCTAGCAGACTCCATGCTGAGTGCAGAGCTGAACGCGGGGCTCCATCTCAGGACCCTGAAATCAGGACCTGAGCCAAAACCAAGAGTCAGACGTTTAACCGACTGAGCGACCCAGGTGCCCCTCTCTCTTTCCATGGTGAGGTCACTAGTCACCATTCTCCGTTCCAAGAACTTTAAGACTGCAGGGCACCATTACTAAAAAGGAGATGCAAGAGGCTTAGAGATTGTGCTCAATTTCTGTGTTATATGTGAGGGCACCAAGGCCCTTTTGGGTGAAGGAAATCACCCAGAATTATACAACCATTTCCTTGTGAATGCGACACCTGACCTCAGCCCCAGGAAATCACCTCAGTGCCTTCCCTGATATGGTTCTGCTTCACTGATATGTGTTCATTTCACTCTCAGCAGACTTTAGACACTTGACTCCTTTCCATGTTCTGGGCTGGTAGAAATGTGTGGCAATGCGGTGTTGGGTTTCTTCTAATTGCCAGTCAGCCAGTAACATCAAAATCAGAAGCCAATACCTCATCCTGCGGACTCCTGTGTGAAGGAGTGGCTACCACATTTAGGTGTTAGTAGGCCAGATTCTCATCCAGGTCTTAGGTGCGTTAACTCTTTAAAGTCACTTCATGGCGCACAGCCCTAGTCCTGCCTCAGTACCTGAAGGAAGAGGGCTTTCTTTTTCTTTCTTTTTTTTTTTTTTTAAAGATTTTATTTATTTATTTGACAGAGAGAGACACAGAGAGAGAGGAAACACGAGCAGGGGGAGTGGGAGAGGGAGAAACAGGCTCCCCGCCGAGCAGGGAGCCCGATGCGGGGCTCGATCCCAGGACCCTGGGATCACGACCCGAGCCGAAGGCAGATGCTTAAACGCTGAGCCACCCAGGCGCCCTGAGGGCTTCCTAAGAAATAACCAAAGAACATACAGTTCAGTGAGAACTGGGAGCATGAGTTGGACCCATCTGACTGGACTCCTGTCAAGCTGTGTTCATTAGCGACCTACTAATGCCATACCTGCTAGAGAGAAAGATGCTCCAAACCAGTGGTTTGCAGACTGTAGCAAACATCACAGGCCCCATGCAGAGCTTATTACAACACAGATTTATGGGCTGGTGCCAGAGCTTATGATTCACTAGGCCTGGGAGAGGGCCTGAGAATCTGCATTTCTAACAATTCCAGGTGACGCACATGCTGCTGGCCTGGGCACCACATTAGGGACACCTCTGCACCAACAGCCACTCTGCCTTCCATGAGCCCCACCACTGGAATGCCAAAAGGGACGGTGTTCGGAGTAGTCTTGGCTATGGGGACCCTGCAGTTGAGAGGACAGCAGGGCCCAGAGCAGAACTCATTTTGTGCCTTAGAAGAGAGGTGTTTCTCAAGATCAGGAGGCAGGCCAGTCCCAGAGGCGTGTGCTTTGGCAACAACACGAGGGACTGCCATTCCCTGCCTCGCTCCTCCTTAGGTAAACGTAGATCGAAGCCATGTGGCGTCACGACTAGACAACCCATGTGGGTGTGAGTATGAGCGTAGAGGGGGCGTCACCCGATCTGACAACCTTAACTTTATTCTTAAGGGTACCTGAGACAGTAAGTGTGAGGCGGCTGGGGCGTGGGCTGAGTAGGAGAGGGGGGTCCGGAAGCCAGGTCTCCAGTGCCCCCACGGGCTACCCCATCTCTTGGTAAACCATTGTTTCCTATAACATCTCTCCTCAAAAACAAACAAACAAAAAAACATGTGTGAAATGAGGCTTCTTTACAACACCCTCCACTTCTCCCTCCCTTCCCATAGCCATTTGCATTGAGAATTCAATACAAACAAATTCCCTCTAGGTGTGAGCATCCCGTAGCCCCTAGAAAGTGCAAACTTTATTGTTTTAGGTCATTTATAGGTCAGGTGCTCCAGGTGCGACGAGTCTGATCTGACAGTCACAGTTTGGACACACGCACACATGGTGCTGTGGTCAGTGTGTCCGCATGCCCTATTGTAGGGATGAAGAACCCACATATTTCATACACAACAGTTCTAGAAG